CTCTGCACCACTGAGCCATAACCTCACTCCTGTCCTCTGTTTCCTTAGCCACATATTAGTTTGTCAGTGATGCTGATGTTCAGGAAGAAGTTGGTTTTGCAGACTGCTGATTTCTTTCTCTTTTTCCTATATTTTTTTCTTAATTTAAAAAAATTTTTCATAGATCTTTATTTATTTATATGTGGTGCTGAGAATTGAACCCAGTACCACACACATGCAGGGAGAGTGTGCTACAGCTGAGCTCCAGCACCAGCCCCTGCTGATTTCTTGATTGTTGTTTCACCAACACCCCCTCTTACCTACCTGTGCTTAATTTACCCTTACCTTGCTCTTTTTTCTTTGCTTTCCTTAAGTACAAGTGTCAATGATTGCTTTTATCTCTTCTTTTCTAAAATGTGCTTTGGATAGTGTAGACACCCCCAGTGCTCCATCTCTGCTGTTTTCCGTATTGGACTTTTTTATTTCATTTTTCTCAACATGATCAAATTTACCCTTGAGTAACCTCGTCTTCCTATGTCTGTTTAGAGCCCTGTGTTGCATCTCCCAAAGCTTAGAGGTTTTCCAGCTGCTTCTGATCTGATTTCTGCTTTAACTCCCATGTTCTTTGAGCCTACTTGGGATATCACTGGCATTGCACACTTGTTGAGGAGAAGTTTATGGCTCAGAATGTGGCCTTTTCTGGGGAGTCATACTATGATCCTGAGAAGGCTGTGTGTTTCACTGTTGACTAATGGCCAGGGATCACAGACCCAACAGAGTTGTGGTGATGTCTCCCAATGTAGCCATGTAGTCTTCATTGTCCTGGGAAATTTTGTATGTCTCTGCTTGGTGTATTTTGACTTTGTTTCAGGTGCATGCATACTAGCAATTCAAGACAGTTACTTGAAAGTTTAGCCTAGAGCTGCCACAGTGGCACATCCCTTTAATCCAAGCAGCTCAGGACTCTTAGGCAGGAGGATCAGAAGTTCAAAGGTAGGCTCAACAAGTTAGGCACTGAGCCACTTAGAGAAATTCTCTCTCAAAATAGAAATAATTAAAAATAAAATAGGGCAGTGAATGCGGCTTATTTATTATGCACCCTTTGGTTCAATCCTTGGTACAAAATATAAATAAACAAACAAATAAATGAATAGAAAAAAATTAATCCCTGGGATTCTGGAGTCTTATCTTACTCAGGCATGGTCAATCTCACGTCTGGTATTTTCCATTCATGAGTTAAGTTTTCCTGTTTCTCAGTATTCTTTGTACATTTTTAAAAAGTGAATGAAATTTGTTTCTTGGGGATGGGGTTGTGGCTCAGTGGTAGATGCTTGCCTAGCATGCATGAGGCACTGGGTTTGATTCTCAACACCACATACAACTGAAAAAAGTTCCATCAATAACTAAAAAAAATTAATAAAAAAGAAAATGTGTTTTTCCTTTTCTCCTATACTGTGGTTCCTGTTTGTTGAAGGCTTCATGCCTTTGCTTAGAGACTAGGTGTCTGAGGTATTTTTAGTGAATTATTTTGTGTTCAGCTCCTTTGAAAGATTTCCCTGAATGCTAGGGTCATCTGAAAGAATGGAGTTTCAGAGCTGACAGGCTTTGGATTTGCAGACTGACACCCAGCAGCTGTGCTCTCTGACATTTCACCATGAGGGTTGGCCACAGCTGCAGGTACCTGTAATGCAGTAGTAGAAGCAGCCAGCAAAGTAACAGAGAAAGAACAATCCCTCTTCAGATTGAGCATAGTAAAAGTCCCTAATGTGTATGAGTCTTTAGGCCATTGACAAGCTTGTTTTCATATAAGAAATAAAAAAATCACTCTCCAATATATTGCCCCAATTTCCTTTTTAGTGTCCTCAAAACTTGTTTATGTATAAAAGTAAAACCCAGCTGTGCTCAGGCCTCAGGCTTTAGGAATTTTTTGGTTTTTTTTTGGGGGGGGTCTATGGTGTCACAATCAATTATTGCTGCCAGATCTCAGTGTCCCTTGGCCTCATTTCTCCCTACACTCAAAACTATAAAAGAAAAGTAGAAACAGCAAAACCTCACTTGTCTGGTTTTTGTGGGTAGTAGTGTTGGGGCCTGTGCTTTAACACACAGTGGTGCTGTTTAAAACTCTGATGTGCCTTTTCTCTGCAGATCCCCACCTAGAGAGCAACCAGTGCTGAGCATGTGGGTCATGGTCCTCTTTTTAATGTTTCCTCCTGGTCTGTGTGAACTTCCTTCTTTCCTCAGAATATCTCGGTGGTTTTATTTGGGGGAGCATACTGTGGAGTGAACCCTCAGGTGCTTCACCACTAAATCAAATGCCCAGAACCTTCCCCCTTAACTTTTATTTTTGTTAACTTTCATTCAGGATTTTGCCAACTTGCTTAGGGCCTAACTAAGTTGCTAAGGCTGGCACTGAACTTGCAAGCCTCCTGCCTCAGGTTTCTGAACCTGGGTGTTTTTGAGACCTGATTTCTAAAAGAAACTCTCTGAAACTTGCTTTGTCAAATTTTAGGTGATGGTTGAGTGGGTAGACAATAGTTTGCTTTCTTGCCAGATGCAGGTTGTTTGTTTACTTAAATCCTTTTAAGGAATTTCTGCTGATTTTTTACAGTGATTACTTCTGATGTAGAAGAGTGAGAGTTTGTTTTACACATTAAGATATTTCCATGGTTGGGCTGGGGTTGTGGCTCAGCAGTAGAATACTCACCTAGTACATGTGAGGCCATGGGTTCGGTCCTCAGCACCACATTAAAAAATAAATAAAAGAATAAATAAAGATAATGTGTTCGACTACAATTAAAAAACAAAATATTTTAAAGAAGATAATTCCATGGTGATTTTAGTATGAATTGCCCCAAACTGAAGAAGATGTGCTGTGTGTAGTCTGGAGTCAGTGACCAGGCCCTCACACTGAGATGTCAGGCCAGTGTCCTGCACCAGAAAGGGTCAGGCTGAAGGGATCATGAAGGTCAAACCATGGTAGCTGCACTGCACTCTTTTTTATGACTGCTTCACGGAGCTGTTGGGAAACTTTCAGGGCTTTGGGGCATGATGGCATTGTTGTTCTGATGGTTTGGCTTGTGTTTCCACTTTTGTTCTATTTCATGGCCGTATTGAGATGGTTCCAAGCTCCCTGTTGTGTCATTTTGCTATGAATGTTGAATTGTTTTTCTTCTTATCATTAGGGAATTGTATAACATGTTCTTCTACAAAACTAAATTTCCACAGGTGCAATGGTGCATGATTGTATTCCTAGCAGCCTTGGAGGATGAGGCAGAAGAATCATAAATTTAAATGCTACCCTCAGCCTCTCACAAGGCCCTGAGGAAGTTTTTGAGTACTGTGTCAAAATGGCATATATGCTGGAGATGTGGCTCAGTCATTAAGTGCCCTATGGTCAGTCCCTGCTTATTTATTTTCTAAATGTTTCTGACCACAAATAAATAAATACAGTGAATTTTTTTTTTGTCAGTTCATTAAAAGTGTGTCACATTTGAATGTATAATAAATGGATTTTTGACTATGGAATTAGTGCCTTTGGCCACCTAGATTCGAGTTTGCCTAGATCATCATTGTGATCTGTATCCAAGACACCTGCTCTCACTCATCTTTCCATGCTGTTGAAGGCCAGCCCACTGAAGCCTTCCTCATGGTCTGTTGCTCACCTCTGCTGATACTGTGCTGCTCAGGAGATCACATGTTTTAAGTCCTTGAGAATGGTTTTGTGTCAGTGGCAGGGGCACCTTCTGGTAGGTGATCTTTTTGGCTGTTCCATCACGGGGCAAACATCATAGTACTGTTATGATTGTACATGAAGTGGCGTGTTTCACACCCAAACTGTGTTAGATAGGTGAGGATTCTGGGTTGCAACCCTGCTTCTTTACACACCCTGTAAATGCTTCTGTCGTAGGTTTGTTTGCACCACCATCATTACAGGCAGGAGGAAATGCTTTCACAACAGACACCAGTGCACATGTGGCCCACTCTTGACCAAAGTGTCCTTGAGTGGAACATGGCTATGTGGAACATGACCTTACGGTAGTGAAGTGACTGCTTTTCAGTAGGTTATTGACAATTCTTGTACATTCATTGTTGCTATGAGGTTTAGAAATTCGTGTCTGCTTTTCATTAAGAAAACTGGTTTGAGACTTACAAAACTTTGCAAGGTTGTTGTTTGGACAAGGTGACATCTTTGGGTCATTGAGTTATATGTAAGACATGTTCCATCTTTCAACTTACCTAATTCTGCTTTGACAGTAACCTTGAGAAATCATCAAATTTTTGTGTTTATTAATCATTTTGCATGTTTACTATTTTATTAATTTTTTAATGGAGAAATGTACCTGCAAACATCTAGTTGTTCTCTTCTTGTAATCCCACAACATGAACTCAATCCCTAGTTCACAAATTCTGGCAACCTGAGTGTCAGGTTGTCTAAATGTTGTCTGTAGTGGAAGCTTCTTTGTGATCAATGCTCAGAAGTCATGGGTGGGAACTGTTCTAGGCATTTCCTTAAAGAAGGAACAAAAGGACTTTCAGAAAGAATCAAGAGATCAGTGAATGCAGTGTTGTCTATATTAACTGTGTAGGCACACTGACCCACTGTGGTTGGTAGAATCTCTCTCAATTGCTGAGTTCTGTGATTGCAACAATGTCCTACTCAGTCAGCTTTCTTTCCTAAGGGTAAGTACTCTCGAGGGTGCTAATATTAGCTCTCAACTTCCGAGAAGGTTGTTAGTACATGTAATAGAGGTGTAACCAAAAAAGTGACCCAGGATCCTGTGTTACTTCCTGTGAACTCACCAATGGAAGGGAGAAAATCACTAAATTGCTTGCCTTCTGAGTGGCCCAATTCTACTGTTGAAATGTTTGTGAGGAATTGAGTGCAGAAAAGTTTTGTTGGACCAAATCATGGAATTAATCAGAAATTCAGAGAATCATGTGAACATCAAGCATGTTGAGTACATATTTCTTCTGCTGTCAATCTCTCCTGACTTCCACTAAACATTTGTGGGATATTTTAGTTCTCAGTGACCTTTGAGGATGTGGCTGTGAAGTTCACCCAGGAGGAGTGGGCATTGCTGGATCCTTCCCAGAGGAACCTTTACAGAGATGTGATGCTGGAAGTCCTCAGAAACCTGGCTTCTATAGGTAATAATGATTTTTTTTTAATTAATCTAATAGAGAACTCATGTTTATTTTGGTCATTTATATAGAACATGAAAAGGAAATCCATTGTTGAATTATTGCAGCATAAAAGGCACCTACAAGTTTGGCAAAGCATTTCTGTCTCCTAAAAATTCATAAAGATTGTTCTGGTTTCTCATTTTAGAAAACAAATGGTATGAAAAAAACACTGAAGATGAGGTCAAAAATTCTGAGATCATTCTAAGGTAATTGTACTCACAAGAGGAGTTCTTGAGGGAATGTGAGAAAGTCATATAATTTTTAAAACAGACCAACCCAAGAAGTATGCATAATTTGAAATGTATTTATTCTTATAAATTTTTTTTTTACTAGAAATGTATACTTAACTGTAACAGATATTCAGTCTTTTCCAAGTACTTGGCATGCCAAAAGTATATGAAATTGCATGTGAATATCACTATTTGGATAAATACCATAGGAAAGCTGCATTGCAAAGGATTATTTCCTTTGGATATCTTGATTTTCAGGCAATTTGAACACATCAGGAAGCCTAGCCTTTACCTGATGTTGGTAGTAATGTAAGCCTAGGACCCATAAATAAGTATAAAATCATGAATGAATCAAGCATTGATAATGTTCTGGTCATTCTTGAAAGAAGCCATGTGGTAAACTTAAACAGCCAAGAAGGTAGTGTGGGGAAACTTTCAATGAAATTCCAGTTCTTAAATGGACAAAGAAAAATTTTAATAGAGTAAGTCCATGTGGTTGTTATATGTGTGCCAAGGACTTCATATGTGCTTCATTCCTTCATAGGCACATCACATCTCACTCTGAACACAAATGCTACAAGCCTGAGGAATGTGAAGAGAAGCCATGTGAATTTAAACAGCACAGGCAATCCCTGGTTTCTGTCAAAAGTGTTCACACACAAATGTTAATACAAACTGGAGATGGACCCTATGAAAGTACAGTATGTGGGAAAGTCTCCAGTTGTTCCAGTGACATCCAAAGGCATGAAGATACTCATACTGGGTGGCAACCCTACGAATATCAACAATGTGGTGAAGCCTCATCTTCTCCCACAGGTGTTCAAAGACACATGAGAACACACAGTGGAGGTAAACCTTTTCAATGTGAGGTATGTGGGAAAGCCTTTCATTTCTCCTCTTCAGTTAGAAGACATGAAAGAATTCATTCTGGAGAGAAACTCTATCACTGTAAACAAGGTGGTCAAACCTTTATTTCACACACAAGTCTTCAAAGGCACAGGATCACACACACAGGGAATGCACATTTTAAACGTAAGGTATGTGGGAAAGACTTTGCTTATCCCAGTTTACTTAGAATACATCAGAGAACCCATACTGGAGAGAAGCCCTATGAATGTAAGCAGTGTGGGAAAGCCTTTGCTAGATCCAGTGAACTTCGCATACATGAAAGAACTCATACTGGAGAGAAGCCCTATAAGTGTAAGCAGTGTGGGAAAGCCTTTGTTACATCCAGTCACCTTCACTCACATGAAATAACTCATACTGGAGAAAAGCCCTATGAATGTAAGCAGTGTGGCAAACCCTTTGCTAGATCCACTGACCTTCAGATTCATGGAAGAACACATACTGGAGAGAAGCCCTATGAGTGTAAGCAGTGTGGCAAAGCCTTCAGTCATTTCTCTGGCCTTCACTCACATAAAAAAATTCATACTGGAGAGAAGCCTTATGCATGTGATCAGTGTGGCAAAGCCTTTGCTAGGTCCAATACCCTTCACAGACATGAAAGAACACATACTGGGGAGAAGCCCTATGAATGTAAGTATTGTGGAAAAGCCTTTGCTAGTTCTAGTTACCTTCCCAAACATGAAAAATCTCATACTGGAGAAAAGCCCTATGAATGTGAGCAGTGTGGCAAAGCCTTTTCTACATCCAGTTACCTTCAGATTCATGGAAGAACACATACTGGGGAGAAGCCCTATGAATGTAAGCAGTGTGGAAAAGCCTTTGCTAGGTCCACTTCCCTTCAGATTCATGGAAGAATGCATACTGGAGAGAAGCCCTATGAGTGTAAGCAGTGTGGAAAAGCCTTCACTTATTTCTCTGGCCTTCATGCACATAAAACATTTCATATTACAGAGAAGCCTTATGCATGTAAGCAGTGTGGCAAAGCCTTCACTCGTTCCTCTGACCTTCACTTACATAAAAAAATTCATACTGGAGAGAAGCTTTATGCATGTAAGCAGTGTGGCAAAGCCTTTGCTAGTTCCAGTGAACTTCAAACACATGGAAGAACACATATTGGAGAGAAGCTCTATGGTTGTAAACAATGTGGAAAAGCCTTTGTTACATCTGCTCAGCTTCACTTACATGAAGCAACCCATAGTGCAGAGAAATCAGACTCATGAAAACAAGTGGCAAAGTCTTCTGTTAATAAGGTTTCACTCATTATCATGTAGTAAGTTTTCTGAAGAAAAATTCTTTGAATGTGGTAAATCAATATTTCTTGTCCATTTCAAAGAGAAGAAAGTGCTCACATGTTTGAATATCTATCTGTCATCTATCTATCTATCTATCCATCTATCTATCTATCTATCTATCTATCTGTCTGTCTATCAATAGTACTGGGGATTTAGTCTGGTGGTCATCTATCACAGAGCCACAGTGAAGGCGATCTCCCACTCACTCTCTTGACAGGGTCACAGTGAGGATGAATGCTGGCAAAGCCGCACTGGTTGGTGGGAAACAGAAAGCATGAGACCCTTTTTTATATAATTGGGACTTTTCATTTTCATGCTTATGTTTCTGACAGGAGGCATGAGTATGTTAAATGTGAAACAAATTAAATTTCAGATGGCTAGAACATAACAGGTAGTTCATGCCTTGAAGGCTGTTCTACTACCCCTCAGCATATCAAGGACAAAGTAGAAGGCTGTTCTTCTATCTCAGTACATTGAGGACAAATGTGATATTGGACAACAATCATCCTCTGAAAAGTCACAAGAATTTTAGGCACCACATCGATTATATCAACTAGAACCCAAGCTCTTAGAAAACCTAATTATTATGCTTATTTTTCAAAGCCCACCATATGTAGTCTCATTTTTGATTGAGGAAAGTTATATTATACACTTAGGAAAGTTAAAACATATAAAGGTATATTCTCTTTTTATAAACCCTTTTTTACTTTACATAGGGATTTATGATGAACATAGTTAATATTGGCGGAAAGTGCACTGATGTTTAGAACTTACTTTCTATTGAGAACGATTATAAAGATACGAGAACTAGTGCACCTTGACTGAGAAACAAAGAAACTCTTTGAGAAAGCAGCTCAACCAGGTTTATGAGAATAAATTTAGGAAGTAATTAAAGTAGCCTTATAAGATATATTTTTAGAATAATGTTAGAAATATTACCCTATTTAGACTTTGGGGTTTAGAAATTCTGAAGTTTTTAGTTGTATGGGTTTCTGATATATTTTAAGAATGATTTATAAACTTTAGGATATTTTAAGTATAAGATTTAAGGGGACTTTTATTAGATGAGAATTTTAGATTCGAAATAAAGTAAAGGTGTACTTTAAATTTAAAGGTTAATGATAGGTTCAGAGACTTAGAATCTGGTTTCGTAGTTTGGCATTAGTCAATAAGGAAATAGTAAATCTTGGGAAAATCTGAAAAATGTAAATTAGTGATGCATTTTATTAATGATTCTGTACTTTTAATAATTAAATAACTAAAGGTCATATCCTGGAAAAATGGAAATTAATGTTACATTTTTTTGTATCCCTAATCATGGTTAAGGAAATGTCATGTCTTGGCAAAAGTTTTAGATTGTATAATCAATGGCGTATCTGAATCTATAATGATGAGAAAATTTGCAATAAAAGATGACCCAGAGAAAGCTGCATTAGAGCTCTCTCTCTGGAGATTTCTCCAACGGAACGACTCCTGTCTCATCTTTTCGCCGACACCACTCATCCTTCAGGACCCCCTGGACCCCGCGAGGGCAGGACAAGAACAGGATCAAGTCACCCTTTTCTCTACATGCCCTCCCTAGTGCAGTGCTTTCATCCTCACTGTGTCATGCAACTATTGATTTCTTTGACTTTTCTCACAACGATGCTGCCCACTGCTTTTTCTCAAAAATTGATTATTACGTCATGACTTCTCAATTTATTCTTTTGTGTCTTTCTAAAGTTTGCTTACACTTTGTGTATGTGAGTTGAGGCCTGTGCACTCCAGCATTCTGTACAGATTGGCTAAATGTCTCTTTGTTCCTCCTTTGCTCCCTTCTTTCCTTCAGATTTCACCCAGGAGTGCTCCACCACTGAGCTTCCCCCTAGCCCTTTTATTGTTATTTTTTGAGATGGGGTGATGCTGGCCTCAAACTTATGGTCACCATGCCTCAGCCTCCTAGCAGCGAGGACCATAGAGATGTGTCCTTTTGTGCTCTGTGACTGGCCTCTTCCTTTTCCTTGGTGCCTTATTGTCCTGTTGATGACTCTGGGACCACCACTCTGTCACTCGTGTTTCTTCTAAGCCTCATGTGTTGTGTTGTATGTAGGCACATTAAAGGGCATTATAAAAGTTGTAATTTGTATGTATTCTTTGGAGAGGCATCTTCTCAAAATATACTTTGCCCTGTACTTAATTGAGTGGCTTTCTGTTTCTTTTCTTTCCCTGGTGCCAGGGACCCAATCTTGCCTTGTGCCTGCTAGACAGGTGCTTTAGCACTGAGGACTCCTCTAGCTCAGGTGGTGAGTTTGCTGCTGCTGTGTGCGTGGTCCCTGCGTCAACCCCACTGAGGACCACTTTAGTAGATGCAGCTCTGCAGGTTTTTCCCATGTTTTCACCTGGTCCCTTTCTTAAACATCTTGTACAGCAGGGAATTTCAACCACTGAGATCCACCTTAGCTTTTCTCCCCATGACTAATACTTAGGTGAAATATGCCAGAAAACCCAGGCTGGTCTTGTCTCTGTGTTCAGGGAACCTCAGTAGCCCTGGGAACATCGTCTGATGCTTTTCTTCATACACAGCATGTGATGAAAACTAGGTAAGGAGGGACCCAGTCGGATGTCCTAATGTATTGGTGCCCCCTTCTGCACCTAAGAATCTTAAATAAGCTTCTCCAGAGATCCTCACCATAATATTCTTTAAAACAAATATCAGGAAAAGGTTTTGCAAAGATATCAATATATGTTACAATGAAGATGTGATGATGTTACTTCGTTTTTGGTAAAGCTTGGAAGATCTCCGAATAATCTCAAAAATGACTAAAAATTCACTTTCTTTGAACAACCAAAAAAAATTTTATGTAGACTCCTACAAAAATAAAATAAAATAAACCTCCACCCCCTCCCACTGGGTGTAAAGATAATGAAATTCCAACATCAAGGTCCAGAAAATTTTAGGTGATACCCCTCTGAACCCTGCCGCTAATAAGTCTGCTCCCTGAATCTTCCTCAGGTGTCCAGCCTCATCTGCCCCACGTCACTAATAGAGCCTCCATTGGCAAAAGATTTCACATGGTACCCAGGAATTTTTCTTTTAACATTAACAGCAGGGTCTCTGATGGGATTCAGGAGCACTGGTTTCAAGGTTCCTAGACACTTTAGAGCTTCCTTTCCCAGCAGTCATGACCCAGACAAAATCCACAGTGGGTGCAGCACCGGGAGGTGGTCACCCTTCATGAAGACAATACCCTTCTTGACACTACAGCCAATAAATTTCCAGGAGTCTTGCTTGCCAGTGCTTGCCGTGTGCTGCAGGGGATCCTGCATATTGGTATGAACTTCTGGGTGTTCTTGCTGTGCTCTGTTGGGGTCATTGTGCCCAAGAGGCTTGGACACTGCTGGTCCTGGGGTCTATTAATGACTGTGGAGCAGGAGGCACTTGCATGGATGCCCATTTACTCCTGGGTCTGATGAACTTCCTGGGCCATGACCACCCATTTGTGCCTGGATCTTCTCTTCACTGTCTCCTTCTTCCCTGCACTGCCTGAGCTCAGAGTCCCCTCAGTTCTCCACACTCATGTTCCTCTTTCCTGATGGCCTTGGTGGCCACCAGGGAACATACTCCCTCTCAGCCTCATGGGCTCCCATCAGACCCCTCTCTGCACAGGGTCACCATGATGTACACTGCAGGTTTGGCATCTTCCCCTGCTGTGGAGTCTTGGTACACTGGGCCCAGGGTCAACCTGGTGTGTGCTGCAGGGTGGGCATCTCCTCCTGTTCCCTGGAACCCTGGTACACTCTGTCCCTACCCTGGGTACCCTGCAGGGAGGACAGAGGGCCTCCAGCAGAGAACCTGGGTTTTGATCTGCTGTGATAGTGTGATTTAAGGACAGGTCAATGACCTCCATTGACCTGTCCTGTGCCCACCCTAGGGAAGACTCTCCAGGGCACCCTGGATGGATTATGCTCCCTGGAACATACCCCCAGAAAGAACTGTGTTTGTGCATCTGTGAATGGTCTTGGTCCTAGGATGAATGTCATTTGGGAAAGGGACAGGAACACACTGCGCTCCAGAAGAGGCCAGCATGGAACTTCCCGGGGAGGCATGGCACCTGT